GCCATACCAATCTTTAGAGGTAGGAGGTTAGTCCTCTTCAAAAAAGTTGCATATTGCACATTTTAAATGCCACAAAATTAGATGCTGATTTCATTTTGTGCGAACTTGGACAAAGTCCCAAATAGCCTTTGTGACTGTTTTTCAAACCAAATTAGGATTGATATTATTGCCTTTCATGCACAATTAATTTAGATAAACAGAAGCTCCCAGTCAAAACCAAAGGGGTCCCACTGGAGGGAGTATTCCTAAATTGCCCTGATAAAGGCTGAAAGAGAAATCTCCACACGCCCCTGTCCCCCTGATGACACTGGTCCAACAGGAAGTCATTAGTCATGCAGAGGGTTGGCCAGGGGCGGGGCAAAGCATGGCCCGAGACCTTGGACAAGATGACCACACCATCTGCTGGGAATCAAAGCAGAAGGGTAATAATAGAAATGTTAAAGCTATTCAAAAGAGTGGATGAATCATGCTCATGTCCTTTCCATAACACTGCTGCATATAACCTTTATTATCCCTAGTATCCACAAACTAATTTCAAAAACTAATTTTACTGATAGGATAATGGTCATACTTTAAATCAAAACATGCCAATATGCCTTCTCCTGCTTGGTGCTTTTTGTTGTTGTTGGAACTCTATACCAAAAATTTAAGGTGCTGCACCATGTACAAAACAAAGTAAAGCTTATTGTGACAAACTGAGAATCCAAACTTTACAAAATCCTCCTCCAGTTCTGAGTGCAGTACTCCTCTGTGCAGTGTGTTTAGTTGTATCTTAGCCTCATTCTTAGCAGGAGCCCAGAAGATTTATGACACTGCCATTGTCTCCATTGATTTATTTTCAAAGAAATACAATGCACTGTCTTTGGATCACAGCCAACACAATCGGTTAGATTTTTTCGACCCGTTTCACAGTAATCAAAAAGTATCCCACAATATCAAAAAGTGTGAGGGATTTGGAGCATGAATCCTTAATATGCCAAGACTCTAGAGTACACTAACACTAAAAACTGAAATGAATTAAATGTCTCCATCGTTTTCTGTGATGCTCCCTGACTACAGTATGTCCCTCATCAGATTAATAGCCTGTGTGATGTCTGTATCGGGCTGCGTCCTTGTCTCTCTCATTACACTTCACTGTATGCTCCCAGTGTTTACCTAAAAGCTTCGCTCTGTCCATAAGGTAAACACACCTGTCCAGGTGAGCCTTTGAAACACTGTCACGCCAGATCTGTGATAAAACACTGCAGACAAAGCCCAGACATTCGGCCTCTATTAAATCATGATTAGAACAAAAAAAATGTAACGTATAAAGAAGAAATAGAAAAATAGAAGCCCCCTTTAGTGAGGGAGCTTGGTGCCTTCATAGACTCAGCTCTAATTCTTAGCCAACACATAAACAATATGACTAAATAGTTAGTTTTTTTTCCATTTAGAATAACATTTAAAAAATCCCTTCCAAAGATTCAGTATAAAAACTTTCATTCATTTCTAACAGTAAATTAGTCAAGCTTCTGCAGCTTACTGGCTCCACTGGCTCCCAGTTCAGGCCTGGATTGACTTTAACATCTTTATTCTAAACCCTCTACACAGTCTGACACCATCATATATTTCTGATGTACTCGTGCCTCAAGAACCTGGAAGATCCTCAGACCCCTATCTTCACAATACCTTCTCTCATCATGCTCCTTGTAAACAGAACGTCTTACCTAATGATATAAAATGTGCTTTGACCCTAAGCTCATGAGAAAACTAAAGTCTTGCTTATTTTGACTTTCTAGTCCATAGGTATTGTAAGACGCATTAGTTTGCAACATTGTGTGAAATGTGCTATATAGATAAATGTTCTTCTACATCTGCATCAGGACTGGGAGGGAGGAATGCCAGGCACACAGATGGTGCACTAAATGAACAGTTCTCGGTCCAACATATTTGAACAGAGGTAATGAGGACTAATGTGAGTCTCTCTCCCTAAACTTGAGCTGAACCATTGGATCGGCACATCCCCAGCTCGTGTCAGGGACCACTGCCTTTAGTGACAGCTGCAGTAATGATCTTTGTTGATTTGTGCAGCTGTCACACACTCTAAGAACAATGCTATTCTGTTCATAATCAAATGAGATATACTATTATGACAATGTTGACATAAGCTGCAGACCCACACTGAGACAATTTATTTCAAGGTAACAATGAAACAAAAAGTATACTCCAGAAGAAACACATGACTCTTGCTTTTGCATGAAGGTGCGTCAAATTAGTTTGTCTAAAAAAAAACAACCCCAGCAATGAGCTGTGTCTGTAACTTTACTGACATTTCCAAGCAGTAAGGATTGGATTCTGTCGGACAGTGTACTGCAGCTGCTGAGACGCCAATCTTCCTCATACAAGCTATTGTACAAGAAATCTGAAGACTTATTGCGAGAGATAAATTATGCTTGTGATTCAGGCTGAGCAGAGATTGTTATTTTCTGTAACTCCAAAATAATGGTATAAATATTGAACATGAAAGGCTCATGTTGCTTTGCTCCACAGAAAGATTACTCTGTCAGTTCCCATGATAGTTATGTACATGCTTCATCCATGGCTTCCAAAGCATGGAAGTAATAATCACTTCTCACATAACGGTTTACTATTTTCCTCTTCTCACTAACTTCATGTCCATGTTTCCTATGCCGTCACTGTAATGCTTAGTTTGAAAAGTTGTAATGAAATAAAGAGATTTGGATTTTAAAGATTGAACTGAAGGGAGAAAATATGCTCTTATGAATGTGGACATGGAGTAAAGCTTCCACTTAGAGCAGCTGTCATTTTGCTCCACTGCGTCTTTCTCATTTGACCTGAATGCCTTAAAGAGTCTCGTCCGTCCCTGCGTGGTCACATGGATCAAAGCCAGAGCATGCTGTTAGCTCGCTCACTGTTCACTCATTATCTGTAAAGCACTGCACATGTCTGCAGTGCATGACACCAGCAGAGGGCCGGATGAGCTCACCTTGTGTCAAGATCCTTTTTACAACCAACCATAGTAAGAAAATTCAGGATGTTACGGGTTAGGTCTATGGAGAAGCAACTCCTACAGACAGAAGGAAGTTTCTACAGAAGCTGTGTTTACGTATGCCAGATATTGATAGACCCTAAAGCAGCCTTCATGTGATATATCATATGAATATTTTACATAAATTATCTATTTAGTGGGCCGACACATCAACACACACAACCAAAACATCTGTTCTAGACAATTCCCCTGAGATCGTTCCAAGGCAACTAGACTCTTGTGGTGTAGACAAATTGCTCCTCCAGGACCTAATTCATAAATAATCTGAGTAAATAATTTTTCTAATTTAACCAATTTTGTTGACTTAACCATCTGAGAGACCAGCTCAGGCACGCAGTCAGCAGCTGTTAGAAAGGGCTAATTTGCTATACTTTTCCCATTCGTCTGTTTTCCGTGTGCATTGGTGTGCATTTGTGGCGTGTGTGGACCTGCCGAGGAACCTGAGATCCAATAAATCCCACCTTCGTTAATACTGGGGTAAAGGATGGCTGTGTACACCTCTGCACTCTGTCACAGCAGCCAATAAATCTGCTGCATTCGCCTCCACTACAGCCCCAGTAGCACCGTGAGGCCAGCATCATTTCAGAGAACACGTGATCACCTATTTATTTAGATCATTAAAGGTTCTCCAAGGTCACAGCGTTCTTTTGGAGACACGTTTGGTGATGGGGGTCTTCCTTATTGTGAAGATCTTTGCATCAAGTTTTATTCACATTTATTTATTGTTTATTTGGTTGGGACAGTACATTTTAATGAACACATCACTCCGGATTGTAGCCATGGGATAATTTGCATCCGTTGTCCCACATTCGCACTCACAAACACACACTCATTCACCCTGAACTATTACACATGTTTTTAGTGGTAGGGGAAACCGGAGTACCTGGAGGAAACCTACGCAGACACGGGGAGAACACGCAAACTCCACTCAGAAAGGCCCTGTTCCGACCGGGATTCAAACCCAGAACCAGATTCAGATTCAGATTATTTTGCCATTTGCAGTAAAAACACCACATTGGAATACATTAGCAAAAGTCTCCAGTGTGCACAGACAAATACAGACATAAAACAACATTAAAAGACAGAAATAAAACAAATAAAACATCAAACAAATGTCACTGTGAAATCGATCGACTAAAACAGTTTCAAAACGAGTGCAAATCCTTAAAGTGCTCTGTTCACACTGATAACAGCTTGTGGATAAAAACTGTTAGCGTAACGAGATGTCCTGCATCTCAGAGAGCGATATCTTCTGCCAGAGGGAAGAAGCTGGAACATGGCTTTCCCAGGGTGGCCAGAAGAGTCATTGAAAATCCTAAGAGCTTTGTTTAAAAGTCTGGATTTATAAAGAACCTCCAGAACAGGAAGCTCACAGCCCACGGTCCTCTTTGCAGAGCGGAGCACCTTGTTTAAAGCTCTCTTTTCTTTATCTGTGATGTTTCCAAACCACACAGACACAGAACCAACAAGTAAACTCTCAATGGTGCAGCGATAAAAGTTAAGCAGAATCTTAGAGTTAGTGGTAAATTCTCTAAGTTTACGCAGAAAGTAGAGACGCTGACGAGCTTTCTTAACGACTCGGTCAGTGTTTTTAACCCATTTCAGGTCGTTAGACAGAGTTAAACCCAGAAACTTGCACTCCTCTACGATCTGCACCTGGGAGTTGTCGATTACGACAGGCAAATGAGAACTATTGCGACTGAAGTCGTAGACCAGTTCACATGTTTTTGATGCGTTCAACTGGAGGTTGTTAGTTTTACTCCACTGAACCACATTTTGTATCTCTGCTCTATAAGAGGATTCATCAGTGTCACTGATGAGACCGATGATGGTGGTGTCATCAGCATATTTGATGATCAAGTTTGAGTCAGAGGAGGACACACAATCGTGAGTGTACAAAGTGAAGAGCAGAGGACTCAAACACCACATTCTGCACATTTTTCACCATGAAATGCAATTGGAGTTTGGGTCCTTCCAGATTGGGTGGCTCGCTGTTGGGCGTTGGTGGGCGGTAATTTATTATTCCTCATGTCGTGCCTGGTCCTTCTTCTGCGATACTTCTCTCAGCTCAGTTCATAGTGGCAAACATACTCAATCTCGCTGGCAGTGGGTGATAACTTTTGTGACCTGTCATCACACATCCACAGTGCACCATTAATCTATGAAATATTACATTAAATAAAAATGTTTTAGTTGTGCAGGTTATTAAGTCATGTATTTAAGTTGGTGTTATCGTTGTCCTGCTCATGTGCTTGTGTGTTTGTCATGAAAATTGATAAATATTTGATGACAAAAATAATCAGCCTAATTACAAAATGACTTCATAACATTGGATTATAGAACTTTTGTTTATCACTTCGTTAAGATGGAATTTCACGCACTCAGACAATATTGTGAGGACCACCTTCTTTCTCACAACTGACTCCACAGATTTTGATACAAAAGGTACGTAACTAAAACAATTCTTAGTAGATGCAAGAAATATACTGAACATGTCATGGTGTGGGTTTTATTTTTGTATTTTTGTTTTATTTTGACATTGTTCTCTGTGGTTTGGTTTTAGTTGTACTTCCTGTCCTGTTTGCCCCTGTCTTGATTGTCTGCCCCGCCCTGATGTGTTTCACCTGTGTCTGTGTCTATATGTACCATGTGCTTCTCTCCCCTTGTTGCTAGTCCATTGTCTTGTCAACGTCCTGTCTTGTCTTGTTCATGTCTCTGTCTGTTTCCGTCCTGTTCCTGGTTCTGTATTTTGGATTTTGAGTTTTGTTTTTACCTTGGACTTTATTTTATTAAATCTTTATTTTGGCATTCTCGCATTTTGAGTCCTCCTCCTTCTCAGTGTAACCCTGTCAATTTTGCCCTCAATAAAGTCCTGAACCGAACTGTAATGCAAACATTTAGAACTAAAGTAAAGTGCAATATCGAGTTCGCCACTAGGTGGCAGCGCACCAAAAAACATTCTTCTTCTGCTGTTCACTGGCATCCATCTTGTTTTTGAGCACATAAGCAAAAGCCTGAAAAACGTGACCCAGAGCAGAAATATATATTAAGATTTGAGATTGATTTAGAAAACGAAACATATCCTTGAGGTTGAAAAAATATAGAAACTTAGACCACATCTGTTACAAAACAAAGTTATCTTGGTGAGTGAAAACTATCATTTTGTGTTGATTAGCTTGAAGCTAAAATTGTGAAATGACTTAAAAATATACATTTCAACGTTGCAGTGGATTACATTGGATAAAAAACCAGTCTGGCTATCTACAATAGCAGTGGATGTTACCCCACAGGTACATTTTGTTGTATTTTTGTACACTAATGAATGCATTTTGAAGGGAAATTATTTGGTTTTGTGAAAAGAATGCCAATTTTGATTTAATGTGATATACTTTAATTTTTGTTACCCAATTCCAGTTTAAAGGTTATAACATGTACGTTGTATTATTGAAAATATGGACTATTAAGTAGTGAAAGATTAAAACAAAGACATTTATTTGAACATAAGTTAATTTTCTGCACATTTTGTGCAGAATGGTTTTTTTAGAGGCTTCTTCTGGTCCTGGTGTTCCTTCCGCTGAAGCTGGATTCCTCTCTGTTCGCCCTGGTGCCTGGTTCCCTGGTCCACTGCCTCATCTAACAGCGCTGCAACGGTCCAATCGGGTTGTGTGATATGGACGCTAAGTAAAGGGTGGTTGGACAATTAAAATTTGAGTGCACTCAAGGGTAACTATATTTTGACAGATTTTCTTTTTGTTTTTTTCGGTTCATGAGATCTCAAAAGAATGTGTGGCCGATTTGTACACCAAATGTCATATTTTTGTGTTCTGAACTAAATATTGAATTTTGGATAAGGAAATAAGGAAACATTTGAATAAGACCCACATTACTTAACTCTTTAATCTGTTGTCCTGTGCTTCATTTGGAGTGGAATGGTCTTCTGACCTTATGATTAGTACAACACCAACCTCTTCATCGTACCTACATTTTTGATAATGCCTACCATAGATTATTAGCCTGCCTACAAGCAGAATTACCACCGTAGGGTTACATCAGCATGTGACAAAACATTTGAATTATTCTCATTCAAATTAAGTTCTAAAATAGCACATGTTGCTTTGTCTACAACATAAAGATTGCTTTTCCATCTCCATCCATTCCAACTATGATAGTTATTATGGACAAATATGCATGTTTGTACATTATGTAATTGAAGTTGAATATTAATATTGAGATAATGCCCAACAATACATTCATTTTTCCATTTCTCACTCCGTACTAATCAGTGTTTACTGCAGAGGGGAATGTATAATCATCCCATTTTACCACAATTTAGTTGTTCATTTTGTGACTATTCTCAAAATAACTTGTGTCTAAACAGCAAAAGGGCTCAGTGAAGACTCTTTTATGTGGCTGAGGCCTCAGTCGCTTTTCCATTTTTAACACTGACATTTTCTCACAGGAGATCTGAGGGGAGCACATCAGAGCGGGGCACACAGTGCACTGACCGACTTCAAATGACTCCAGGAAAATGACTGGAAATGAGCTTGAGATTAATATAAACATATTGATTGGACAAAACGACTACAGTAATAGAATAATAGATTTTCTCTGAGTGGATCAGACAGAGTAAATAAACATTGGCATCTACATAGCGGACCAGCTCAAGGATTCTGGGAACTCTTACTCCAATGGATGGAAATAATATTATGGTGTTGGTCTGGTCATCAAACAGCAGCCCGGAGATCTGACCTTTGTCAGGTTGCATACAATAAGTCTGTAAATGCTGTAAGCGTTACAATTTCAGATGGATTTTAACTAGTGCTGTCCAAAATATCGCGTTATTAACGCGTTAACGCAAATCAATATTAACGGCGTCATTTTTTTTTTTTTTTTTTTTTTTACTTTTTATTGCAGACAAACACATATACAGAAAAAAATAGACACAAAGAAAAGGACTAGTTAAGATACATTGTAGACAGAGATTACAAACAATATGTAGTTGGAGATACAGGGGGCCAAAGAAGAAACCCAGAAGGGCACATAGGAGGGGGGGGACATGAAGTGGGAGATGGGGGGGAGGGGTTAATAAAAAAGGCAATACAAGCAAACAGTATACAGTCATAGATATACCGAAAGTAAACAGAGAAACAGCATAGAGTATTTACATGAACAAATTTACAAAAAAATTGTTTATCATCATCATAATGACACCATGATGTTTCTATACAGTCTATGGTCTATACCCACACATACACACACACACCCACACCCATAAACACACACACTCCACACACACATTGAAGGGGCTTTTTGTTACCAATTATTTATTTTGTCATCCATTTATTGATGATTTTGCATCAAATGTTAGTGTGTAATATAACACTACACATTGTTTTCAATAAAAAAGCAATTGCACACAGCACGCAAATGGGTGACTAATTTGCGATTAATCGCGAGTTAACTATGAAATTCATGCGATTAATCGCGATTAAATATTTTAATCGTTGGACAGCACTAATTTTAACTCAATGCTCTGTGTTGGGGTGAAATGTCTGCACCTACCATCTGCATTGAAATGTAAAAGCAATTCAAACAATCGAACCACTTTTTTGTGTGAAAGAAAAATAACTGGAATGTGATGAAATGTTAGTTTTGAGCCATACAGTAGGTCCCATTCCGTTTTGTCGTCTTCATTCACGCTTCTCGGGAATCACGCAGCTGCGTGAAAAATAGTACATCTTATCGCCACAAGGTGGCAGGCTAAGTCCACTTTAGCTCTGCCAGTGACTTAGACGCTCAGGTATAAGACTGCGTGCAAACCTGTCCAGCCCAAAGGTGCTATGTTGGCCCAATGGTTAGCATCAAAGACTGGGACCTGGAGAACCCAGGTTCGATTCTTGTCTGAGGAACATCTTTTGGTTGCTTGTGGCAAAATTGTTTTTTCATTAAACAATTATTATATAACATCTTGTCTTTAATGTCTGAAAAAATCTAGGTGAAATTCACTAGACTTTATTTAATATACATTAAATATTGTGATATGTTTTGATAAACCGAACGTTACGTTACATCCTCCGCTCAGTGAACGCACTGCCGTCTGGGCTCCGAGCGCGGACCATAGACACGCGGACTCACGTCTCTCTCTCTCTGCTCACGTCTCTCTCTCTCTGCTCGCGTCTCTCTCTCTCTGCTCGCGTCTCTCTCTGCTCGCGTCTCTCTCTCTGCTCACCTCTCTCTCTCTCTCTCTCTGCTCGCGTCTCTCTCTCTCTGCTCGCGTCTCTCTCTCTCTGCTCGCGTCTCTCTCTCTGCTCGTGTCTCTCTCTCTCTGCTCACGTCTCTCTCTCTCTCTGCTCACGTCTCTCTCTCTGCTCGTGTCCCTCTCTCTCTGCTCACGTCTCTCTCTGCTCGCATCTCTCTCTCTCTGCTCACCTCTCTCTCTCTCTCTCTGCTCACGTCTCTCTCTCTCTGCTCACGTCTCTCTCTGCTCGCGTCTCTCTCTCTGCTCACCTCTCTCTCTCTCTCTGCTGCTCGCGTCTCTCTCTCTCTGCTCACGTCTCTCTCTCTGCTCACGTCTCTCTCTCTCTCTCTGCTCGCGTCTCTCTCTCTCTGCTCACGTCTCTCTCTGCTCACGTCTCTCTCTCTGCTCACGTCTCTCTCTCTCTCTCTGCTCGCGTCTCTCTCTCTCTGCTCACGTCTCTCTCTGCTCGCGTCCCTCTCTCTCTGCTCACCTCTCTCTCTCTCTCTCTGCTCGCGTCTCTCTCTCTCTGCTCACGTCTCTCTCTGCTCGCGTCTCTCTCTCTGCTCACCTCTCTCTCTCTCTCTGCTCGCGTCCCTCTCTCTCTGCTCACGTCTCTCTCTCTCTGCTCGCATCTCTCTCTCTCTGCTCACCTCTCTCTCTCTCTGCTCACATCTCTCTCTCTGCTCACATCTCTCTCTCTGCTCACGTCTCTCTCTCTGCTCGCGTCTCTCTCTCTGCTCACCTCTCTCTCTCTCTCTCTGCTCGCGTCTCTCTCTCTCTGCTCGCGTCTCTCTCTCTGCTCACCTCTCTCTCTCTCTCTGCTCACGTCTCTCTCTCTCTGCTCACGTCTCTCTCTCTCTCTGCTCTCTCTCTCTGCTCGCTCGCGTCTCTCTCTCTCTGCTCACGTCTCTCTCTGCTCACTCTCTCTCTCTCTCTCTCTCTGCTCACGTCTCTCTCTCTCTCTGCTCACGTCTCTCTCTGCTCGCGTCTCTCTCTCTGCTCACCTCTCTCTCTCTCTCTGCTCGCGTCTCTCTCTCTCTGCTCACGTCTCTCTCTCTGCTCACGTCTCTCTCTCTCTCTCTCTGCTCGCGTCTCTCTCTCTCTGCTCACGTCTCTCTCTGCTCACGTCTCTCTCTCTGCTCACGTCTCTCTCTCTCTCTGCTCGCGTCTCTCTCTCTCTGCTCACGTCTCTCTCTGCTCGCGTCTCTCTCTCTGCTCACCTCTCTCTCTCTCTCTCTGCTCGCGTCCCTCTCTCTCTGCTCACCTCTCTCTCTCTCTCCTCTGCTCGCGTCTCTCTCTCTCTGCTCACGTCTCTCTCTGCTCGCGTCTCTCTCTCTGCTCACCTCTCTCTCTCTCTCTCTGCTCGCGTCCCTCTCTCTCTGCTCACGTCTCTCTCTCTCTGCTCGCATCTCTCTCTCTCTGCTCACCTCTCTCTCTCTCTCTCTCTGCTCACGTCTCTCTCTCTGCTCGCGTCTCTCTCTCTGCTCACCTCTCTCTCTCTCTCTCTGCTCGCGTCTCTCTCTCTCTGCTCGCGTCTCTCTCTGCTCACCTCTCTCTCTCTCTCTCTGCTCGCGTCTCTCTCTCTGCTCACGTCTCTCTCTCTCTCTGCTCTCTCTCTCTGCTCGCGTCTCTCTCTCTCTGCTCACGTCTCTCTCTGCTCACCTCTCTCTCTCTCTCTCTGCTCACGTCTCTCTCTCTCTGCTCACGTCTCTCTCTGCTCACGTCTCTCTCTGCTCGCGTCTCTCTCTGCTCACCTCTCTCTCTCTCTCTCTGCTCACGTCTCTCTCTCTCTGCTCACGTCTCTCTCTGCTCACGTCTCTCTCTCTCTGCTCACGTCTCTCTCTCTCTGCTCACGTCTCTCTCTGCTCTCTCTCTCTGCTCACGTCTCTCTCTTTCTGCTCACGTCTCTCTCTTTCTGCTCACGTCTCTCTCTTTCTGCTCACGTCTCTCGCACCTGTTCTTCTTAACACTAGAAAACCCAACCGAAATTGGCCCCTGTTTTGAGAACAGGGAGCTAACTTGCTAGGTTGGCTGCTAACATTTGCATGTATTGATTTGCAAATGTAGGTAATGACTTATAACAGCAGGGGCCTGGGGTGGGCTTTGTTTATTCGTGTGGGGGAGGGAGAGCTGCAAAGCAGAAGAGATGCCATGGCAGTGCTGTGTACCCTGAGAATGCGCTGTATATATGTTGTAATCAGTTTTTCTCAGTGTCTTTGGTGCATTTTTCACATAATTCTTCACATTTTAACAACAGTTAGTGCATTTCTCAGAACAATGAGTGCAAACTGCAAAACCTCATGGATAACCTGCTAAAAAGTCACTTTCTCAAAATGAACTTAATTCCTCAAAAGAAAGTCTTCATGTCAATGAAACGGTCTGTGTCTGTGTCCTGACAT